TGATAGATGCATTAATTTTTTTTAAGATAATTGTGTGTCTAAATGAATGTTAAAATAGACAGTATCATATAAATTCTGTTCAGATACTTATTATTATAATGAAGATGAATATCATGATATTTAATACTAAAGCAGGACAACTAAAAAAAAATTTTTTTTTTAAATATAAGTACTACCATATTATATTAAGAGAGCCCAGGTGTTAAGAAACATTTAAGGCCTGTTTAAGACACTCTCCTGGGCAACGCAGTCAGATCCGATAACAATAATCACCATAGCTTTAGGGAAAAAACTAGATGTGAATGCACGTGATAGCTATAGGAATATTGTCAATTAAATCATTTATCACAATATTAAAAATAATAGGACTCAGTACTACTCCCGTAAGTAAACTCTGTTTTGTTTTTTGATAACCCAACACATTTTGACCATATTTAACACATTAATCTCTTAAGAAAACTTTTAATCTAATAATATATGTCGCCAGAAATGCCACAGGAAATCAATCTTTTAAACAATCCTGCTCTCCAAATTTTATCAAAAGCATTTTTGAAATCTACAAATATAGCATGGGTACCTTGTTTTCTCTGAAAGCCATCCTTTATTTGTTGAGATACATGGACCATTTGTTCAACAGTATATCTATGTCTTAGAAAAACCCACGTGCCTTTCAGAAACCGCATGTTTGTCCAACAATCTGTTAGCAACCAATCTGTCAGTTAAATTATGTATAATGTTTGCAAGAGAGATGGGTGACAACTATCCAAATTTTCTACAAATTTGTTAGGTTTGAGAATAGTAATGTTAACATGCAAAATGTTAATAATAAAAAGACACATAAAAAAGTTTTGTAAGCTATCTTACTAAGAAAACTGAACATTGATATGACGAAATGAGAAAAACCTTAAAAAAAGAAAAACATATACCAACACTGCATCGGAAATTCTAAACATATGTGGCTTTTCAAATGTTTGCAATTTTGCAGGTGAATCACATATGGTGTAAGTGTAAAGAAAATGGTACTTAGCTAGCAGGAGTGAGTGCAACAGCAGACTGGGTAAACTGTGAACTCAGACAGAGCATTAAAAAAAAACTTAACAAATCCTTTTGAGCGATTATCAAAATCTGAACTCTTTCAGAATTTTTTATTTATCTACTCCTTTGACATCTTCATTTAAAGGCTCCATAAGATAAGCATTTGTTACTAGGAATCACATAATCAAACTATGCCCAAACTTCTTGAAACTTCGCAAAATCATCCTCAAGAGGCTCTACACGAAGTTTCAGCAAATTTATATTAGGCTTCTCTGTTTCAGTATTCGAAATAAGTCAAGAATTAGTCTTCAATGACAAACCTGTTTTATTTCTACCCAAATTCTGGAGATGATTCTTGACTTTCGTTTTTGTACAAATAGTACATTTTCTATATTCTTGCTTATTCTCAATTTCCATTTAGACACTTCAGGAATTAAATCCTCAATGTCTAGATCTCACTCAAATACCTGTTCTTAATTTTTTGCAGATTCATTTCACATTCTTCTAATGATTTTATATCTGCAATACCTTGTTCCAGTAATTTTACATGTTCTGTTAATTACTTGCAATGTTAATCTTAATGTTTTGGATTTTGTTTTCACTTTATCTAAAGCTTTTTGTTTTTTGTATTCTCATCCATAATAATAACTAACATATAATTCTATACTTCTAAATTTTTTACTCTGATAGTATCATCATTAATAATTCAATATAAATATTCTACAGTTCAAGAAAACATTCAAATTTCAAACTGAAACTTATCCCTCCTTCGTTGCTCATGGTATGTGATGGCAATAGGTATTCATCCCGTTTCTGAGAATATGTTAGCTAGTGATACAGTCAAAAGTCGTTAATTCGGACTCGTCGGGACTTCGGTGATTCTGGATTATCGATTTTTCCGGATTATAGATCATCAGTTTAAAAATCTGGTAAGATGGCATGCAGAAATTATAAAATTAAAAATATGAAATCGTAATTTATAAAATAAAGAACAATTATGATCTAAAGGGTATCAAAATTTACAAAAAGAAAGCTTAATATTTATTTGTTTACTTTATTAAACATTTCTTTCAATGTAAGTTGTTTAAGTTGCTTCGTTTTTTATGTGATAATACATTCTCTTTAATTCTATAAACAGACATAATTTCTTGTTCAGTTACAAAGTTCCGCTGTTCAAGTCCTATAATTGCTGTGTCTACCGACTAATTTGTCAATCGAAATTTTTTCGTTTTCAATAACCTCTGTCACCTTCTTCCCTATCGGAAGCGAATTATAATGACGAGGAATTTGATTTAAATCATATCAAAGACGGAGTACATCGAGATGAAATACTACATTTAGTAAGGTATAAGCCAAATAAAATAAAAACACCTGCCCTGAAGATAAGGATAGTGCTGACAGATAAACTTCCAATTCATTGATCGCGGCTGCATTAAAGATAAACAAAGTTTAGATAAACAAACGTTAAAGTTTAGATAAACAAAGGATATGCCTTTATCCATTTTTTGCAGCAATTCCACTTTTTGTTTAATGAACTTCGAAACAAACTTTTGCTTTGTAGATCCTTTACATAAGTTTGTAGCTTTGAGGTCCGGATTATAGATCATTCTGGATTATGGGTGTCCGAATTAACGACTTTTGACTGTATAGCTTGACTCATCAGAATGGCACACTTTATTATTAAACTAGGTTTTAACTAAATTTATTAAGGAACTAATTATTAACACACATACATCCAGCTTGTATGCTGGAAATCATAAAACATCGCCATTACATTCATTCGCGCTCTTCTATCTCAGTTTTAGTCTTCTCATGCCATCTGTCGGCGCTTACAGAAGATATAAGAATTACTATAAGCAACAGTGAGTGACAGCTGAATCCTGTCTAAAAAAATTAAGTTTGTTTATTTCTGGATGATAGATAAATTACTATTACAAAATTTGCACCAAATGAACTTACTCTCCAGAATAAATTGCTCGTAAATGTATATAAATTATTATTAGTTTTTTTTTTTTTTTTAATTATAATATGAGCATTAATTCTAACTATAATATGGGTAATAAGTCTAACCTCTTCTCCATGTTTTTTAACTTAAATGAATCATGAATCTAAGTTAACCTTAGACGCTGTCTCAGGAAGTGAGGACTGTTAAGTAAAGCTTTTAAGAATGGCAAAGCTAAGTTACATTAGCCCTTTTGAATAGAAAATAATGCTAAATAAAATCTTCTTATTAAAATTGCAAAATTTTTCAGATAACTATCACCAAACATTTACTGCATAATTACCACGTGCTTCCTTGTTAAATCAGCCATAATTAGTCGTGAAAATTAGAAACCAGAACTGGCAAACTTGTAATAACAGTAATACATCATACAGTCAAAAGTCGTTAATACGGACTCATCGGGACTTCGGCGATTACGGATTATAGATAATCAGTTTAAATCTGGTAAGATGGCATGCAGAAATTACAAAATTGAAAATATGAAACTATAATTTATGAAATAAAGAACAATTATGATCTAAAGGGTATCAAAATTTACAAAAAGAAAAAGCTTAATGTTTATTTTTTTACTTTATTAAACATTTCTTTCAATGTAAGTTGTTTAAGTTGCTACGTTTCATGTGATAATACTTTCTCTTTAATTCTATTAAACAGACATAATTTCTTGTTTAGTTACAAAGTTCCGCTTTTCAACTCCTATAATTGCTGTGTCGAGAATACAGACTAATTTGTCAATCGAAATGTTTTCGTTTTCTGTAACCTCTGTGTCACTTTCTTCACTATCGGAAGCGAATTATAATGACGAGGAACTTGATTTAAATCGTATCAAAGATGAAGTACATCGAGATGAAATACTACATTTAGTAAGGAATTATAAGCCAAATAAAATGAAAACATCTGACCTGAACATAAGGATAATGCTGACAGATCACCTTCCAATTCATTGCGCGCCGCAGAGCAGCGTGAAATTGATAAACAGATTTCGGATTTCGAAACATACTTTCGCTTTGTAGATCCTTTACATATTAGTAAATATATATTTGGAAATTCTATTTAACATAATGAAAGTTCAAGCTTACTTTTATAAAATTGCTCTAACAGTCTGCAAAAATAAAAGGCCGGATCCAATTCGAAGATTAAGGAACAACGCAATCTGCTACATTAACTGAATTAGATAATTTTAGCTTAGCTTATACCGTTCATTATACATTAAATGCGCATGCGTAGACGTATCATGCGCATGCGCATATTCGCAGCCATAAAGGTCTTACGAGCACGCGTAAACGTCAACGCTACGCATGCGCAGAAAATTTGTAGCTTTGAGGTCCGGATTATGGGTGTCCGAATTAACAACTTTTGACTGTATAACAAAAAATATATAATGTTTAATGTGCACAATTAAGCTATGGATGATGCTGAAATTGTGAAATTCTCCGATTTTGGGGGGGGGGAAAACAAATTGTTGTGTACATAGGGAGAAACAACAGTAATGCATCAAAGAATATAGTATGCATAATATTTACTGTATCATATAATCTACATTAAACAATTCAAATTTATATTTTAAACTGTATTTTTATTTGCTTCCTTTTGATATAATGATAAAGTTTGCCGATAAATACTTACGAGGCGGCAATATGTAGACAAGAAAAAATAGTACTAGTTCTCCCCATGTACACAGCCATCTGTTTCTGCTTTACAGAAACATTAGAGAATTGCACAAATTTGGCATCAGGCAACATTATATATATCATGACAGTGTTTTTTCATTTTCCATGGTATTTTCTAGTTTTTGCCAAACTAATTTTTAATGTTGGCAAAGCACTTGCAGTAACTGATTTAAAAAAGAAATAGCTTTTTTTTTTTTTTTTTTTTTTAGAAAATAAACAAAAATTAATATTTTAGGTACAAATTTGTGCATACCTTTTTTTCCCCCTCTATTTTAAAATTTAAATTTTTTTACCTCATGTGCCATCTCATGACATGTAATGCCACCCAGCACTTTGAACACGAAAAGTTCAGCTAACTTCAAATACTTCTCGAGGGTGATTTTAGCTTCACTCCTTAAGTTCCGCAGATATTCTTTTTTAATCATACTAAAGAAAATGAAAAATTTCAGTTAAAAAATAAATATGAATTGCTTAAAAAAGCAAACTAATTTTCTTAATACAAATATCAAAATGTTATTAAATGTTTACACACTCTTTTAAAATAAAGATTCATGTAAGTAGTAAAACGTTTATATGTGCACTTCCAAATTTTGAAATACCAATGAAATTTTTATTCATATGTTTATTCAGATTTATAAGTGAAGACATTTTTATATACTGCAAAAGCAAAAATAATCATTGCCACATGTTCTATTCAAATACTATAATAAATCTAGAACGATGTATAAAAGAAATTAAGCAAACAAAACAAAAAAGTAACAGTTTTTCACAGATGATTCACAGGGTTCATAGCCACATTTTAGTTAAAAAAAATAAGCACCTATAAGCACTTTTCAAGCACATTTTAAGAAAAAAAATAAGCACCCGTCTAATTACATTATACACAACTGCATAACCTTAAAAGAAAAATTAGACTTGCAATTTAAAATATGAGCAATGCAATATTTATCAAGAGAATGAGCATTACCTCAACCATGGAAAACAACTGTTTTTTTTTTTTTTTTTTTTTTTTTTTTTTTTATTTTAATTTTAAATGACAGTTTAATTTACAGAATTAGTTTACAATGAGAGAAAAAAAAAGAAACTATGCAGAACTAAACTATATTACAAGATTTAATGATGAAATTTCAGTTCAAAATGTAGAAAATAAATAATAATAAGCCATATTAATTGTATTCACTTGGCATCTAATAATAAATACAATTTATTTTCCCACTCATATTAATATTTAAATAATTTAAATCAAAATTCTGAACATTTTCTAAATTTTCATTGCATAACAGTTTTCCCTTAACATATATTCCAAGCAAAGTAATTTAAGTAAAAAAGAGGAACATTTCTGAAATCAGGAGACGGGAAATTGTTTCATGCAGTCATCCTTAAACAGTAAAAGCTTAACTAACCCGCATACTCGGAAATTGCCGAATATTCCGTATAGTCGAGCGTAATTGGAAAAAGAGGAGGGGGGGGAGATTGTAGCCGTTCTTTAGATTTCTCGGCTAAATAAATGATTTTGACATTTCGATATGTGCATCATATAAAAATAGACCAACGGAACTGAGAAATATTCTGCTTAGAAAGCACAGTAAAACTTTTTTAAGTGTTCATAAATAAATCTCAGACTGAACATCAAAATTAATTATATCTGCAAAATATCGCAAACATTATTGTGCAATACGTGCGGCGTAATTCTTCTATATGTGATATTACGCAATCGGAATCAACTGCCGGTATTCGGAGAATAAAGAACTAAATAAAGGAAAACTAATCTGGGGTGTTTTTGATTCTAATTTTGAACAGATTGCGTTAAATTTCCGCAATTTTCCCGCAAAACTTTTAGTCCTATTCAATCCAGATTGGACAGTGACCAAAAAAAAAAAAAAAAAAGTCCGCTGCTTCAATACTAGAGATTTTGCGGAGAAAGGGGAGAACCACCCAACCTCCATACTGTATAATGTATTGGGGGGGGGGGGGGAATATTCTGACTATTCGATTACTTTCCTTTTATTTAAGCCATTCCGCATATTATTCCTTAGAAAGCTAATCTGTGTAAAAATACAACCCATTTTTGGAAGTTTATCTACACTTCAGGAGCTACTGCAACTATATTACTATAAATATTCATACATATGCTCTTAATATAAGCATAACGATCATAATAAACACGAATATGAACTGAACACGCGGAACGAGAATGCAAATTAAAATCTTGATAGAAATTCAAACGTGTGTAGTATTTGGGTGGGTGGAAAAGAATACCGAATTACCGGAATTTTCTACGGTTTTTGCAATTCTTTGACCAAAAGAACGACGTGCACCTGTCTATACTCTCGCGCGCACCATAGGTTACGTTAATGCAGAGAAAGGGGGGGAAAGCTATTTCCGGGAGTACGATTCACCATCTGACGTTCCATATAAGGAAGAAAAGTTGTTTATTTAGTTTCGGCTTTGGTACGGGAGGAAAGATGCGCGTTCATTAAAAAAAGCACTAAAAGCAAAAAATAAGCACTAAAAACAATAAAATAAGGGCTTTAAAGAAAAGGTAAGCACCTATAAGGGCCCTTATATTTTATTTTCAAATATAAGGACTTATAAGCACTTGTAAGGACGGCTACGAACCCTGATTCAGTATTTCTCATTCAATTAATTCAGTTCTCACTTCGCGACAAGGCAAAAATACATAAAAACTCAAAATATCTGTATTAAAAATTACAAAGTATACCTTAAACACATATTCTTCGAAAAAATTCCAGAATGGAATAAGTATGATTTAATTCGCAATAATAAATGAAGACGGGCGGCTAAAACCCGCCGGGAACTGAAGAAATTCAACCAATCAGAATAAGCCACCGTCGGAGACTGCTTTTGGCCGCCAATTTTTATGCCAATAATTGAAGAGTTTGCTTTGGATTCATTTCCTCCTCATATTCCATTTTTCGTATCTATGATATGTTTTTTGTTAACATTTGTAACTTTTATTTTTATAAAAGGCAACGGAGTGGAAAAGCTTACAAAGCCACAAGCTTTTTTTTTTTTTTTTTTTTTTTTTTTTTCAGAAAGTTTCTAAATACTAACAAATTATAATTTGAACATTTTCTAAAATGTATTGCATTTTTGTGTGATGTTTGTTTTTCAAGAAATGTAACACATTAGATTGTATAAATTGATAGTAAAATTCTCAAATATACTGTATTTTTGAAAAGCTTAATATATAATTTTTTAAATTGTTTTTTTTATCTAATAAAATTTGGAATTCTCTGCCAATTTCAACACTAAATAATATATTAGGGAAAGTCTTCCAATTTGTATATGTAAATCTCAGTTCAATTAAAGTACTTCATTTATATTTGATTTCCTGCAATAGTATTTTCTCACAGAAGATTAGTTGCAATACTTTTTACTGCAAGACTTTACGTGTGTGAAGGATTAATTCACATAACAAATAGATTTTTAGAAAAAATGTCAGTAGCATAACATGAGGAATGTAAAATGTGAAGATTTTCTTTATAATGTATCTATACATATGCAGTTTATAATCATTCGAAAAAGAGGCCCGTGAGTGGTAAGACTGTTGAATACTGATAGTTAGGTTTATAACAATATGCTTTTGGACACATTTTGCATAGACAGCTTATCTGGTCTGACATTTTCCTGTAAAATATTAAATGAAAAATGTAGTATTTGTACCCAATATAATACCTGATCTGCAAAATAAGATTACCGTGGCTGTGGAGACCTGACATACCAGTGAAACTGTTATATGGTTATGTTGTAGATATTACACAAATAGATCAGCAGCTAGAGTATCAAGCAGTATGAGGTAGGTATCATATAACCAAACATTTATAGGTATGTGTTTTAAAGTTATAGACTGATAATATGATTAGAAATTATATTTCTGTCATACTTATGAATCTTCTGTGAAACATACTTATTTTGCATAAATCTACTTTCAAAATACTCTATTTTGATACAACCCATTGTTTAAAAAAATTAATGGCTTAAGCATGGAAACTGCATAACGAAATTCCTAATTGTGTAAAGGAAGCTACAGTCATTATGGAGATTATTGCTTATAGGTGAAGTTAAACAGGCTTTAAGCTTGATGAATAGTATTTCCACAAGTAAGATCTTCTTTAACATTTCGCAATAAATTTTAAATTTAAAGACAATTGTAAATGGAGGAAACATTTAGCAGAATGTAAAAACTTTTTGAAAAATCTGAGCTTCGTTCTTAAAACTTTTCGAAATGATCAACTGAGGTGAGAGAACAAAATAGCGTGTGGCAATTTCTGGCATAAATTTTGCATGTCATGAAATTTATTCGATATTTTCGGATAATTTCTACAATATTCTTTATTTTGGTTTTTTTTTTTTTTTTTTTTTTTCAATGCACAGTTATACAGTTTTTTGTTTTCTGTGTTTGTAAAAATTAAAACATTTAATTATAATTTGGTATTTTGTTTTATGGAATAAAGCACGAGCTCTTTGTTAATATTTTGGTAGCTAATATTTAATCAAAATTTTATTTAGGTTGATAAATTACAATTTAATATATATTGCCAAAAACATCAGATTATGTTGCATAATATGAATATTTTTATAAATTCTTAAAATCTGTAAATATTAAGTTTTTTAGTACTGCATTCAAATATATTTTTTGCACATGGATCATATGCATAATTACAAAACTTGAAGTTGGAATATTTCAATTGTTTGTTTTCTATATACAAATGCGTTGTTTTTATCCATTTAACATTTCATCAGTAATTTCTTAACACATTAAATATTGCATTGGTCCCTAGGAAACCAATATTAAACCAAGCAAAATAGACTTGCTGTTTAATATATTAGATATTATGAAAACATAACATTAGTTTAAACCATTGTAAAACAATAAATGAATGTTAAATCTGTAATTAAATGCACATAAGCCAATTTTTGACTCTTATATAACAATGGTATAATAAATTGAATGATGATTCAGAAGTCAAACAACAAAAATCAGCGTTAATTCACAAAATTTTCACAGGACTAGTTTCGATGGTTTTACCGAACCATCATCTTCAGCTGCAAAACCGCAAATGAACAAGATAGGAAATAATGTTTAGATAAGATAAGAAAGCCTGGACAAGAATAAGCAAGTGGTGCCATCTGTTGGCGAAACCAGAACTAAAACATAATTTCTCTAAAAGTTCGGTAAAACCATCGAAACTAGTCCTGTGAAAATTTTGTGAATTAACGCTGATTTTTGTTGTTTGACTTCTGAATCAGTATTTATTCGGCGTGTTATTGTGTCTTAAATTGAATGATGTTAAGCTATTAAATTTGCTTGGAAAATAACAATTATAAACACTTTTTATATAGTTATTCTACTACTAGGCATAATTATTAAAAATGAAAAAAAAAAAAGTGCAGTTTCTAAATCAGTTTTGATATGAAGAAAAAACAATGATGATACATCATGTAATGGTAACTTATCCGAAGATTCTACAGCAGAGTAAACTGAGAAACCTTCTATAAAATGAACATGAAATTCTTACAAGTAAAATTATTATCATCTTTTATGATTAGTATTCATTCGAGTGGATAAGACTAAGGTGCACTGGCAGTTTGAACGCTGGTAGACAGGCTAGCTTTTTAGGATATTTCTTGTGTGTCACATGAAACAGAAGTCATTTTCTCGTAATATACTTCATGAAAGTCTTCTTCGCTCAAAAAGATACTGTTTTCATGATTTGCAAAAATCAGTTAAGCAAATAAGAAAACATTCTCATTTTCTACCATCCGTATAGAACTCCGGGGGGGGGGGGGGGGGGGGAATTGTACGATCTCTTATCAACATAAATATTTTTATGCATGCATTAAGAGAACAAAAAAAATTTATTTATCAAAAAACAACAAATTTAGTTTTTCTTATTTATATTTATACTGAAAAACTACATAATTATGAAAATTCACTACATTTCCACCATCAGAAATGATAGCAAATTATAGGCACATAGGCAATAGATGTGTAGGCTATAGTATAAAATTTCTTGCTGCTTACAAAAAAAAAATTAGAGTCATCCAATGGTGGTAGGTTTTATTGGAATATTTTATTTATACAGAAAAAGAAAATGCATGGGATTTCAAGAAAATTTGTTTAGAATTTGTGCTAGGGATTACTATATGACATCCGAAATCATAATCATTTACAGCAATCATAAGTAAATGAAATTAAAATTGCAGATTAAATATTCTGTGATTTCCAAATATGTATAATTACAAACTCTGAAGACTACTTAAGGTGATAAATTAAGGCATATTATTCAGAAAAGTCCTGTCAATAAAAGAAAATAATGTACATACCAACACATATAGTGTAAAATTATCCACAGATTTATCATGAATAAAACTTACTTGAATGTGCTAATGCTGCATTTTTGCAAGACGTAAAAAATTACATCTTTATATTAATAATTACATCTTTATATAACACAATGAAATGAAACAGAATTATCTAGATACAGAATAATGCATAATCTATTTTTTTTTTTTTTTTTTTTTTTTTTGGAATTACTGGGTGTCAGCTGAAATTTTATGAGCTATCCCATACCCTTTTAATATGTAGATTCTCTGAATAATCACTCCATTTTATATGTTTCAGTAAGCGCTTTTGGTTAATATAGTTTTGCTTACAGAAAAATACACAAAAGAGAGATTTCTACGATCAGGTTGTTTAAATAAAACACATTCTTAAAATATTTTCTTTATCGAATTTTATGTACATACAATACATGAAATAATAAGAAACCTAAATATCACCAAACATTTTCAAAAACACAAAGAGCCAAGAAATTTTACAATACAGTAATGTTTATCAATTATTACTTTATTTAAAAGGGTATTAGAAAATCGAAAAGTTATTCGGTATCGGGATAGCAAGTTGAGTAGAATTTACAGTTGTATTTGTTTTAGAAATTGAAATTTAAATTAATCCCAATAAATATTGTACATTACTTATCGCCTCTATGGTAAATTAAATATTAAATCACATCAGCTTCCTCAAAATAATAAGCGAAACAAATGATCTATCTACTACGAAAGAAGAACGAACAAATTACCATAACATTAACAAGCACATTCTGGTATACCAGTTTTGCACTAAAATTGCGTTTGGCGAAAGAGAAATGATGCCAAAAGTTCCTGGCGCACAGTCCTCTCTAATTGGTTAAATTTCTTCAGTTCCCGGCGGGTTTTAGCCGCCAGTTAAATGAAGGCGTTATCTTTGTTGTTACGAAGCTTAGTCTTTCTAGATTGGCAACAAATCTACTAGTCTGCTGTTTCAAATGTAAATAAATATGTCCGCCATGTTATTCAAAAATTAGGCTTAACCGCACTTAAACAGCTTTCAATTGTTGATAATTCTACAAATATTACTTGCAGACCTCCTAAAGGCATAAAAACCTTAACCGGAAGATAAAAACAACGTAATTCAACCATTTTTAAAGCAAGAAAATGCACAATTTACAAACATATAAGAGTAAAGAAACTGAGATCACTGAGCCAGATAACAGAGTGGATATATCTATAAATATATTTATATACGTTTGGTGCGGCCAATTGCAACAAAAATACGAGGTGCACATCTACATCTTATGGCAGTCCTATATACAAAATTTCAATGTTCTGAGGCTACTCGTTTTTAGTTATGTGAGATACGTATCGCAATTTTTCGTGATGTCTGTACGTACGTATCTACAGCCATCACAAAAAATTCTCTTTAGAATTCATTTTAAAGCAGTTTTATAATTTTTTGGAAGAAAATAGTCTTTTATTCTGTACTTACATACAGATGTCACACAAAAACATCGTTAAATTGCATTCAATAGTGGTCAAAATGGATATTTTCGTTGAAATATGCTGCCTGAAACTTTTCGCGATTGCAATACTTCCTTTTTACTTCGTACAAGGAGTAAAAATAACTTTCTTCCTTAACATTTCATTAATACAAATAAAAACTGCATATTTAAAAATATTTGCTTATTCACAGATTTACTAAAATAATCCATATTTAACTGCTACGTAACTTGTTTACATTGGAATGAGTGCAAATTTATGAAATCATGTTTTAACAAGCACAGAAAACACAAGATGCACACAACAGTAAATATATAACAGTTATTTCTATAAAATCAAGAAACTTGCATGAAAACTGAACTGGCAATAATTTTTACTAAGAAATAAAAATATACATAATTTCTATTTATATAACTACTTACTGGTGAAATGTAAGTACCACTATTGTTTTATTCAAGGTTTCATCATAGGCTGCACAGCTCAATGTGAGAGTAGCAGCAGCAAGCATCTGTAATTCATTGTAAAATCAGAAATATGTATACATTATATAAAACACTTTGTAACTATATAAAGTTAGTAAAGTAATTTATGTAATGCAACATAGGGTTGATCTTTACATTATGGTAACTTGGCAATTTTTTGGCGACCAACTCTCCTACAGCAACCCTCTATTTTTTTTTTTTTTTTTCTTTTTTCCCTGCCGCCATTTTGTCTTCACGAAGTAAAGACATGTTTCTTTTCTTTTTATCTACTGAACACTTCTTCCAACAATCTACTAGCCGAATTACATTTATGCTAGAAATTTTATCTAACAAAACTGCTTAATCATGACAAATATTCACTGCAAAATTGGGAAAAAGTGCACAATACCATACTCCTTACGCGTTTTTCAAAATAACACATAAACCATGTACACGTCGACTTACTTTTACTTAAAAAAAAGTTCCAGAATTACACAAAAATGACATTGCGCACACTCTTCACTATATCCATGTACACTGCTTTTTTCTCATAAATTAGAAAAATTTCACGAAAATACATGACAATTTTCTGAATCTTTAAACCCGGTAAAAAGAACATATATGAAATTACCTGATTGCGAAAAAGTATATACCCTTTCCAAATATGAACATTTCCACATATAAAATAAATAAAATATCCAAAAACATTTACCTCTAAATCATCTATTATATTATAAACGTCACCAACGAATTCATACCGCAAGCATTACAAATACTTAGTGTCAAATATTTAAATTATTTCCATGCACGTTTACTTCAACTAAAATGTATACCAAATTCCTACAAACATAAAATTCACAAAATAACTATCATTTAATTAAAATATAATTAAATTCAAAAACACTACTTAAAATATAAATGAGCACATACATTAAATTAATAAAAATTACCTTACATCCTAATTACTTTAAAACTAAATCATTGCTAATAACAATTTTCCCAATAATACCAAATTCCATTACTTCCACCTTACATTTAGAACAATGCATAAAAATAATATCCTCAAATAATTAAAAATACTAATTTACCTAATCTTCTTCAGAATCTTGATTACGTGTCTCATAAACTTTTCTTCTTTCTGTTTCAGGATCTTTAAAATCATACTTATATTTCACAGCAAGGTACCAGGTAAAATAAATAACTTAATAAAACATCTTTAATTCTATCTCGCACAACCTTAAAGAAACACTTATTACTACCCCTTTCATTCTCACTAAATACCCATTTCGAATTCACTTTAGTTAGGGCCATGGGATCCAAAAATTAACGAACACTGTTTCACACAACACAGAATAAAGCCAAATACAAAATTTCCACATTTTTTCCCAATTTCCTCCCCTTTTCCGATTAAAGAACCGTAATTCGTCCATTAATATCACATGACATATCCCATGATCTCTCATTTTCCTCACACAAAATAATGCGTAATCGGAACTGAGTACTGCTCACATTATTACCAAAGTCCCAGGTAGTAACCTTTATCGCCTCCAAAATGTCGCCAAACTACCAGTTACCATATTCTAAAGATCAGCCCAACATAGTAAACAAAACTAAATTTTTGCTAAATAAAAACTAAATTTAAAGGCATAAAAAAACTGTGTGCTTAGAAAAATTTATCAAAATGAAACCTTTATTTTACCAGTGGGAAGTTAAATATATAAAAGCAATTAAAACTGAATAGCAATCAATAAATTTACTAAGCTCATACATGTTAAAAACCAATACATATTACTTTGGGAATGTATAGCCACTGCTGCCATTAATGCATTCATTCTGCATAATTTGCTGCAAGATATTCCGCAACTATTAAGCAAAGTTAGTTAGTAAAGTAATTCTTGTAATGCAACATAGTAAACAAAACTAAATTTTTGCTAAATAAAAACTAAATTTAAAGGCATAAAAAAAAAACTGTGTGCTTAGAAAAAATTATCAAAATGAAACCTTTATTTTACCAGTGGGAAGTTTAATTATATAAAAGCAAATAAAACTGAATAGCAATCAATAAATTTACTAAGCTCATACATGTTAAAAACCAATACATATTACTTTGGGAATATATAGCCACTGCTGCCATTAATGCATTCATTCTGCATAAGATATTCCGCAAATTCATGCACACGTCAAAATGGCAGTAACTGCCGTATCATATCCAATACACTTTTGACTAAAAAAGGGTCACCTGTCAGACCAATGGAGGATTACAATAACATTCAGGCATTTCCTAAATACATTTTCCATCCATGAACAGGCATTTTCTTGTAGAAGGATGGCTCCTGGCACACACCTGAATGCACTAGTAATACAACAGCTTGCAAGATACTGTCATCATTTCAAAGTGATATAAATGACCATTTAAAGCCAGGATAACCAAACTGGTCCCTACCGCGAAGTAGAGGGCAATTTAAGTTTTCACGGTGGGTGGTGGAGGTTTTTGTCCGATAATGTTCAAGGACGATCAAACATGCATGGATGTATACACATGTGTACACACCTTAAAGTTTAGTTCTCTACTTGACCATTCTGCTTCCGTACATTTATATGGCTTTGTTTTTAGTTAATGTATTTTCTGTCTATTAAAAGTTTAATATTGTAGATTATACACCAATGTTCATGAAAAATGCAACACCATGAAGGAACTGTCGGAAATAAATTTATTTCACACATCACTGATAGTGGTACAAATAACCTATCAAATTTATGAGAAAAACAACACAACAAATGTTGGAAATTAGTATCTTATGTGTCCACCACATTAAGCAATAAGAGCATGTACACATCATGGCATTCTATCACACAGTTTCTGAATGTAATCCTGGGGAACGGCATTCCATATGGCTTCTGCTTAACACCAAAGTTCAGTCTTAGTGTGCACTTCACCAATTATATGAGCGAAGTTGCCAAGTAATGAAATTCTAGACATTCTCAAGGGGCAACATATCCCGGGAATAAGCAGTTTATGGAAGTAGCAAAACCTGTTGACCCTTAATGAAGTCTTCTGCAGCCTATAAAATGCGCATGACCATTATCCTGCTGAAATACAGTGCCCGGAATGCATTGAAAAGGGGAATGACCTCTATTTCCAGAAATTTCCATATGTAGCGATTACTGTTGAGGTTGCCCAGAATCTGTACTAAAATGGGATCGACAATTATACCCAACAACTCCCCACACCATGATGTCAGATGTTTGTGCAGTATGATGTTGAATAACTTACTGCGAGAGCAGACATACTCTTCTGTAATGTCTGGCACGTGCTCTTCCATCACTGTATTCCAAATTGTACTGAAATTCATTGAAAAGCAACTTGCCACCACATGCCACACCACACACTCTGTTGATATGCCCATTACAGTCGGACCATCTGTGATTCAGCAACATGGAAATTTTCTGTAGAAGAACCCTTGCACGAAGTTCAATGCTGCAGCAGACGGTGACGAACTATGGAGTCAGTCGGCAAATCTATGATTCAGCGACATGGAAATTTTAGATAGAAGAACCCTTGCACGCAGTTCAATGCTGCAGAACTGTGGAGTTAATGGTTAAACAACACAACACCTGTAGCCGTGACCCAACATTGTGCTAACGTACGAGATGACACTGTACAATCTGTCACAGCCATACTAATAAGATATCTGTCATCCCTTGTCACTGAGCTACTGTGTGCCCCACTACCAGGATTTCACCTTATTTGGTTCTCCTCTGTCCATTTTTCTTAAACACACATCACTGTTGAGGCATTATGTTGCGTGCGGGCTGTGATTGCTCTACGAATGTCTACCCTCTCGCATACCGATGATGCAGCCTCGCTTCAACTGTGTTAGTTGTTGGTACGGCACCCTCTGCTGTTAACAAGGCATACTGACCACTAATTAAACATTCACTGTAGACAGAGAATGCTAAACAGATTTTAAGACAACTTTACAGTCATTTACATACATGGACCAAGTGGTCGGTTCTCATTCCACACATGCACAATCGCTTTGTAATTCTTATCATATGCAAATTTTACCTCACTTTAAATGCATAAATTTAACTACATATATTTTTACTAAACCTCTTCTTAAAAACTTCTTTGCACTTATGCTACATTAAGTTATTCAGAAGGGGTGGGCAGTGTAAAAAATTTTACAACCTACAATGTGGGCAGTAGGTATAAAAAGATTGATTACCCTGATTTAAACTGCCTCCCAAATGGTATAACCAAGTAACACAAAAACGTTTCACACAATATCAGTGCTAAACTATTGGCCAAACCTCCTCCACATGCAACTTTTTTTAATCATCTCAGCTGAAAGAAAACATTCAAACAACATGAAAGTCGGCTAAGATGTTGCTGATCATTCCAGCAGAAGTTTAAAAGAACTGATCTTCCTTTAGTAAGTTACATAATAAAGAGATATAAATTATGCATATAGCATATAAAAAATTTTAATTGCTTATCATTATTTTTCATACTAAATCACCACTGTTCCTCAGTTTTGAAAGTCGTATATTGTGGCTTTTTTTTTTTTTTTTTAAGAATATATTCTTAAGTTTGGTTTATGTTGAGCTGAAAGAAATTTTACTACTTCTTATGAGTTTTCTAAAAACAGTCTCAGAGATAGCTTCTTATAGTTTATGCATTAGAAGTTCCCCATGAATAATTAAGGGTTGAAAGAAAATTTCATTTCATGCTCAACAGGATACATCCATGAAATATAAATTACACTTTTACAATGACCATCCCCCCTAAAAATTGCTTTTGGTTTATTATTCATAGCATGAAATAAAGGCATAATATAATGTCTATACTGCATGTATTTTGACTAAAAAAAAAAGTTATTTATGAACCTCAGTTGAGATGAGTTGATGACTAAAATATCACTTCAGCTCACATGAAAGTTCTTGTTCAAAGTCAAGACGATACACATAATTTTTTATACAAAATTATTTGCATAAATTTCAGGTAGTCTATATATTAGGGTACCCCTTGGATTATTGACAAATTGCTTTTTCATTTATCACCAAGTTGTTTCATTTGTGTTAATCGGAGTATTTTATGGTGTAAATTTTGAAAACCCTATCATGACATGAATGGTTGTAATGCACGATGGTACTAATTTTGATTGTTGAGAGAACATTTCTCAGGGCTTATTTCTGCATTGGATATTGGTTAGGAAGTATGTTTCTTATTTTGTGCCTTACACCATAAAATGTGTGCCGATGGTAAACTGGGTGTATGGTGGTACAGAACGAGGGGAACGGAAGGTGTTTTTTTAAAGTGGACAAAATTGAAGACAAAAGAAAAGAAATATTGTTGTATGTAATTCAACGAAACATCATACCTGGAACAATAATCACATCCGATTTCTGAAAGTGGTATGATTATCTTTCTGATAATGGCTTTGTTCTTCTCTCAGTATATCATGCAATGACATTTAAATATCCGGAAACAGGAGCTCACATCAATACTACAAGGTACATGGCACATAACAGAAAGACATTTTTAAAAGAAATGCCACAGACAGTCCTGCACTATTGAGGATATTTTTTATTTTATGAATTTATGTGGGATCAGCAGTACGCAAATTCTAGTTCAGATAACTATAAACGGTTTTTGGATGCTGTTAAGGAATTCTGTGTGCCACAAATTGAAGACACAGAAATTTCTAAATAAGGTAAGTTAATATTTCCTTTTTGTACTGCACAGATTAAATAACATGTATTTTCATTTTTATGCTATTTCTTTGTTTTATTTTGATTTAAAATGTAGTTTGTTGAGATTTTAATTTTTTATGTTTTATGTACTTGGGAGAGCATTACAGGTGACAGGAATGGTGCCAAACAAATCACCAATTTTCACCAAGGGAGACCCTGAAATATATTTTCCCCTAAATTTCAATGTATATGTACAAAAATAAGATGGTACACATATTTTTTTACAAATAATTATCTAAATAAATTTCAATGTATATGCATAAAAACAAATCAAATGGAGGAATTGTTCAAATGGAGGAATTGATTTCTTTAAAGAAATCAAATTCTATTAAATAACAAATAATTTAAGAACATATTTTCTACTCACAGCTGGATCATATTTCATGGCCTCATCTGACTTCTGCAAGTGATGTGCAAAAAGCATTGCCTTACTGATTACTGGTGATATGCAATTTAATTTAAGACCTATGAGAAAGTAATGAATTATATTTAGATACATAGGAATAAAAAAAAAATGGATGTTGCAAAACTCGCAGTTTTGAGGCAAAAATAAATTTTAATAATGAAACCATGCGCAGACGATACCTGATCGATACCCAATTCCTCGCATTGAAGATTTTCATCATATTTTAAGAGGTACAAATATTTTTTTCTAAAATTGATTTATTCAAAGCTTATTTTCAAATTCCCATTGCAGAAGACAAATGTAAAACGGCTATCATCACTCCTTTTGGTTTATACGAATTTAATGTAATGAGTTTCGGTTTAAAAAATGCTCCTGCAACGTTCCAAAGATTTATTCACGAAGTCTTTAGAGGATTAGAATTCGTTTTTCCCTATTTAGACGATATACTCATTGCATCCAGTACCCATGAAGAACACGAAAATCACCTTAAATTAGTTTTCGAAAGATTACATACATTTGGGTTAAGAATTAATGTTTCAAAATCTGTCTTTGCTGTTCCCCAAATCGAGTTTCTAGGCTACCTAATTACACCTAAGGGTTCCCGTCCTTTGCCAGAAAGAGTTCAAGCTATTACTAACTACAAACGACCAGAAACAATTCATGAACTTAGAACCTTTCTTGGAATACTTAACTTTTATCGTCGTTATATAAAGGATGCAGCGAAGAATCAAGCATTGTTACATGCGTATCTCAAGGGAGCTAAAAAGAGGGACAAACGTAAAATCGAATGGACTGAAGAAGCTGAAAAAACAGTTTGAAACGTGCAAGAATGACCTGGTGAACACGGCACTGTTGTCTTTTCCCAATTCTGAATTACCTCTGGCGTTATTTACAGATGCTTCAGATACGGCGATTGGCTCAGTGTTGCAACAATATGAAAACTCCTCGTGGAAGTCAATAGCATTTTTTTCTAAAAAATTAAGTGATACTCAGCAAAAATATAGCACCTATGATAGAGAACTATTAAGCATATATCTTTCAGTTAGACACTTTAAGCATTATCTAGAAGGAAGAATATTTACAATTTATACAGATCACAAGCCCTTAATATTTGCCTTTTGTCAAAAACTTGACAAAGCAGCACCTAGACAGGCTCAAATATGTAAAAGGTGAGAATATTCTGGCGGATACGTTATCTAGAGTTAATGAAATTTCATTGATAGATTATGATAAAATAGCTGATGAACAAACTCACGATGAAGAACTGAAGAGTTTGCAAACCACTACTTCCTTGAATTTCAAGCAATGTTCTCTACCTTCGGGGAAATATTTGTGGTGTGATACATCAACTAAACATATTCGGCCGTATATTCCTCAGGCTTTCAGAAAACACGTCTTTCAAACGAATTCATGGTTTATCACATCCAGGAATAAAATCGACTATGAAATTAATGACATCAAAATTCATTTGGCCTAACATAAAAAAAGATGTACAGTTGTGGACAAGAACCTGCATTCATTGCCAAAAAGCTAAAATCAGTCGGCACACCAAAACAAAATTAGGTGAGTTTGAAGTATCACCAGGAAGATTTTCTGTCATCCATATCGATCTCATAGGACCACTTCCACCATCTAAAGGGAATATTTATTGTCTTACTTGCATAGATAGATTTTCGAATTGGATGGAAGCAATTCCTTTAGAAAATATTTCTGCTGAGAACGTCGCAAGAAGCCTTTTATAGCAACTGGATTGCGCGTTTCGGAACGCCAAGTAAACTCATTAGTGATCGTGGATCCCAATTTAAAAGTGATACATTACGAGCTTTGTCCAAAATCTGTGGCATCAATTTACAACACACTACTGCCTACCACCCCTCGTGTAATGGCAAAGTTGAGCGCCTTCATCGAACATTGAAAACAGCATTAAAAGCCCACAACAACATATCTTGGACGGACACGTTACCAACAGTACTTTTGGGTTTGTAAACTATTCAACTGCACTATTCAAGAAGATACCAATCATTCTATTGCGCAAGTAGTTTATGGCCAGAGTCTCAGACTTCCTGGCGAGAGTTTTTCAGCGAACCAAGTATCCAGACAGCATTGGAGACTTTCGCTAATAAACTCCAGAAACAGATGGAAGTTGTTGGACCGAGACTAATTCGTAAAAATTCATCTGAACGGATATTTGTACATAAAGACTTAAGAAATTGTTCTCATGTGTTTCAGCGAATAGATCGGGTAAAAAAAACCTCTGGAACCTCCTTATGAAGGACCATTTCTTGTTATTGATCGCAAGGACAAATATTTTACTATTAGCATAAAAGGAAAATTCCCAGTTGATACAACCTGACTACAGTAACTTGCAGAGACCGGACTCAAATTCGGATGTGAATCAAAAACCTTCTCGCACAGGCAGAACTATACGTTTACCTGTTAGATTCAAGGACTGACTAAATTATTTTGATAGTGGTTAACTGCAATGCAATACTAGTTACTACCTATTTCTCCATCTTCGTAACGTAACTTAGTTACTGGGGGGGGAGTAGTAGTGTAGTGGCCCAGTTATTGCATGAGAAATATTATTTTTTATTTCATATATTTGTTCATGTGTTTAATTATTTTATAAAATTAACTTTAATATTTTGTTAATATTCATATTTATATTTCTTTTATGCTGAATGGCAATAAGTAGTTCATATTTATATTTAAATTTCTTTATGCTGAATGGCAACTAGTTCTAGTTCTGATTCATGATTGCTAGGTTTTGGTTTCAAAACGTTGCTCGTAGCGTCGCATTTCGATAGCTGGAAAATAAAATGCAATAACTTAGCTATTTGTTTATAATTCATGCTGTTCCTAGTCATAAATTAATTTTAAACATTAGTAGCCAAGGCTACATCGTAAACGCTTTGCGTGAAAAGTTCATGAATTGTTACCAGACGTTGATTACAAACGTAATTACGTAAGAACACAGCTATACAGCTAAACAGCCGTGTTAAATTCCCCCCCACCCGCCGATTTTCATCACCTCACCCGGTAGTGATGCACCGCTAGCCAGCGGCAATACGAAGCTAATAACCTTTATCGCCTTACCAAAATGTCGCCAAACTACCTGTTACCATATTCTAAAGATTAGCGCGATAACTTTTTTCATGTTTTCAGAATATAGTTTGCGGAGGAAATTTACATTACAATAATGCGGACACACATCAGATAAGAAACAGACAAAAAAAGAATACAATAACATAAAATAATACTGAACGGTTTCTTTCCCGAAGCGCCAACGGGTTCTCTGCGGATGAAAACCCAAATACGGAAGTTACACTATACATTATGAATTAGGAAGAATTTATATATATATTACCTAAATTCGTCACTACAATTTATTAAAAAAATCCATGAATTGCCTTCAACACATAATTAGAATTTTAACGAATATCAGGATGAAGTTTTAAAACTTAGTCTAAAACTAAATAAATGAAATAAACGTCAATTTTGAAACAATTTATATTACTCACCTCCTTCTAAAATCAGTTCGATCAGATATCTAGTATTATGCTTTTTACCGGGTACTCGGGCATCTTTTTCGTAATCCGAAAGTGGCCATGGCATATATCGATCCACGGAACTCGCATCAGTATTCTTTTCAGAATTTACTACGCTTTTGCTTTCAGTACATTTCTTTTCAGGACTTAATTCGTAAGCAGACAGACCACCCTGAGATGCAATACTTCTCGCTTCATCATCAGAACTCATTCTAAATCTGACACATAAATTCTTCTCTACCAATCATTAAACTAACTCTTCCGTTACCTTACGACCCTTTGTTTCCAGTTCAGCTTCAGCAGAACCACGACTCCCAGACCAAGGCCAACTTATACTGACAGACAGACAGACAAGTAGACAGATGTCTTGTTTTGCACCCGCTAAGTCTTTCTCCACGGATGGGCGAAAAATCAAGCATAGGTGCCAAGGAAAGGTACGAGTATATAGAAAGAGGGGGAAATTTCGTATTTGAGGAGAGTAAAAAGGAACTTCATACATTTTATACGAGATCAAAAGGCCAGGAAGAAAAGATGCGACAAAATAAAATTTAAATTTTTAATTTTTTAAAAAGAGGGCCTATAGAAAGAAAAGGAAAAAAAGTAGAAAATATCCTAACATACGATTGTGTCCATGAGTGTAGTTAAAAGGAGAAGAATCTGTCTTCATTTACAATAAATAGTGTCTCACAGGTGTGTGTGTGTGTGTGGTGAGTGTGTATGGTAGTGGTGAATAGATGTGTTACTGGGGGAGGGGAAATTATTGACGGTGTTAAAATGCTTCGTATCAAGGTATTTAGCATGGAATACAAAGTAATATGTATGCTTGCATCCTGAGATATCAACAAAAGTCATCAAACAAAAGTATATATTAATTTAACTAAAGTAACTTATGCTCTCTTCGTTCCCAACATTTTCATACATTTTTCAAAAAACAGCCGCAGACAAACAACATAGAACCATATACAATACAAGACCACAACCGCACACACAAAAAAAAAAAAAAAAAAAGAAAAACATATATATATATGTGTGTGTGCGTGTAAATTACTGAGTATATGTATTAAAAGCACCAATTAAACATAGTATTTATTAATTTAACTATCATAATTTATTACAAGATTAATTATTTTACTATCATAATTTATTACTAGTTATTAATGCTAGTATAACACAATGAGGCACACTGTTATTTATATAAGCTCATAGTTCTAAGAATTTATTTAAAGCAGTGAGGAATAGACCATCCCTTACGTATGGACATTTAACAGATAGCAAGGAACAGTATGAGAAAAATCGGTGAAGTATGATCAGGCGTCGCACGTGTCATGCACTTGCATGAGATCCGACTCATCATATCCCCGGTGAGGTATGATATTATTTAAAGGCGAAAATATATTAAAGCGATCAGGGAAAAAAAAAAAAAAGAGAGAGAGAGAATCCAGAAGATCCGAGAGGGAAATAGCGCGTTGCCCCAATTTTCCCTCTCACGAGATTCCTCAAAGCAAGATAAGAAGAGGGGTGACAGACGTGAACTGATAACGTTGGCGTCTCTTTGGAATTGATTCACAAAGGAAGCCACAAGCAATGAGCAATTTACAATAAATAGTGTATATAAGTATTTTTTAATGCTAAAAACTGATGAAAAATTAAAATTTATTGATTTAAAGGCACTTATTTATAGAAATTTGATTTATTTTAGATGAAAGAAAAGTACTTATCTTAAAATTCCAGGCTTAGTAACAGATAGCGTAGTAATTCAGGCGTAGTAAATCCTCACATTGTCTGCTGTTTTATTCTCGTCAACATCGGAGCGAAAATTTTGGAAAAGATACAGGTTTTGTAGAAAAAAAAAAAACTATTTCAAAGTAATTTAATTGATAATCACCAAGGGGGAATGGAATTTTTTTCACTTTTTTACGGAGCGCTGCGAAGGTGCAGCCGCTTGCCTCGGTGATCGCAGCGCCCCCGCCAACTTATACTCAAGGCCTGCCAGACTGAACGAAATTCCGGTTCCCAGTTTTCAGTGACTTTCGCGAAATTCATCACTAGGTGGCGCTCGCATTCTGCTACAATTTTGCTATACGCTCACTATTTGTAACGTGGCTCGTTATTAACAAAAAGGGTATTTTATGTCTAGCTGCTGTATATTTAAGGGCTATACTTAACAAGCTTGGTTTTTTTGCGTAACTTTATATGCATATAGGTTTAAAATTGTGTATATACCTCATTGAACTCAGTTCTGAAATTTCTCATTCTGCTTATTTAATTCTGAAATCTTTGTGCATCTAATGCTGTTATTTTCAAAACTTTGTTTGTAACTTTCTTCTGATTAATCTGGAATGGGAATGGTACACATGGATTTATGTCAGGTAGTTATGTAGGTAATGTATCAAGATGGCACTCATGTATACGTGTGCTTAATAATGATAATATTGTTTCGTGAAATTCAGTAATTTTATTTCATGCATACATTATTCTTGATAAGGAACTACACCAGTATCTCACGTTGTCAGCCATAAAATTTTGTACACATGTCATTCTGATTAATGTTGTATATGTGTAAAAAATGTCTAGCTGCTATATATTTAAGGGCTATACTTAATAAGCTTGTTTTTTTTGCGTAACTTTATATGCATATAGGTTTAAAATTGTGTATATACCTGATTGAACTGAGTTCTGAAACTCTTCATTCTGCTTATTTAATTCTGAAATCTTTGTGCATCTAATGCTGTTACTTTCAAAACCTTGTGTGGAACTTTCTTCTGATTAATCTGGAATGGGAATGCTACACATGGATTTATGTCATGTATGTAATGTATCAAGATGGCACTAATGTGTATGTGTGCTTAATAGTGATAATATTGTTTTGTGAGATTCGGTAATTTTATTTCGTGTATACATTATTCTTGATAATGAACTATATCAGTATCTCACGCTGCCAGCCATAAAATTTTGTACACATGTCATTCTGATAAATGTTGTATGTGTGTGTAAAAATGTCTACCTGCTGTATATTTAAGTGATGCATTTAATAAGCTTGTTTTTTTTGCCTAACTTTAAATGCATATATATCTAAAATTGTGTATATACCTCATTCTACTCAGCATTGTGGGCATGTGTGATGGATATATTATTTATATTCAACCATTGCAAGTTTTCAAATTTTATCCTTGATATACAGAACTGAACGTTTTCTTAAGTATATATTGTGATTATGAGAGTTATTATTATGTGTGCTGTTAAAATATATTTTATGATGTCTGTGTCTTTTATTTATAACAAACAGATTGATTTGATCAATAGCATTATCAAAAATTTCATTATTTTCATTTGAAAAATTGAAGCTTCTCTAACAGTGAAAATGTAATTGCTGCAATGCACTTAATTCAATTACTAGTTTCTTAATGTTAACATCAATGAAATTTAGAATACAAATGAAAGTGAAGAGAAAAACACCTGTGTAATATTAAAATTAGTCAAAAAAGCAACTTTGGGTTTGAGTTTCATTCAAAATCTATGCCACAGTAAGACTTTTTCTTTCTTTTTTTTTTTTTTTCCTAATAATTTTAGAATGTCTTTGAATATCTGCAATCCAAATACTGCACGGAGATCAAAATCTGCATTATTTAAACTTTTATTGTTTAAGATTTCCTAAAAACAGTTATTTAATAATTTAAAAAAATTCTTCAGTATGTAAAATTTAATCTCTCTAAGTAATATACAAATTTTAGATCACGGTGTATTAATATGTTAATTACATCTTTGATAGGGATACTAAATTATTTTTTGGCCCAGTACAGCCGATAGAAATAGTTTGAAAATTTTTTACTGAAATAATACATGATCTGAAACTATCTGTTAACTTCTTACAATATAAATAATTAAAAAATAAGGTGTATACTCTGAATTACCTTTAAATTAGAATAAATAGTTGTAATGCGTACAATTCAGAGTAGCGCATGTCTAGATGAAAGCAGGAATTAAAGTCGAGATCAAATAGCTAGTATTTATGTGTGAAAAAAAAAGGTGTGATAGCTTATAATTCCATGCTTTCCTTATAATTACTAATAAGAAATCAACAATTTCTGACTAGTATGGATTAATCGTTTTTAAACTTTGCATATAACAAGACAGAATTCGTTTTTGGTACTTTTCCGATTTTTGTAAACAACGCAAAGTGTAGCAGAATTGTAGCGCCATCTTGCGGTCAGTAGGAATATAACGCAGGCAACTGAAAACACAAAAGAATATTTTCACACTGGCAGGCCTTGAGTATAAGTTGGTCTTGGCAGAACGAAGGCCAACTTATAACATAAGCATGAGTTCTGCGCCTTGGAAGAACTTATGCTTCACACATGCGCAGTAGACAATTATGACTTTCGTTGCCATTAAAGCAAAAAGTCTATGTATAATACCTATTTTGATTAAGGTGAGCCATAAAACTGAAGTTTAGACAGACAGACAAAGAAGACAGATGTCTTGTTTCACACATTTTGTCGACTTAGGCGAACGCAGTTCGCAGTTTTAGGCTCCCGCGCGTGAGTGCGCTATACCTAGATAACAAGTAGTCGATTTTCTAACAAAATATTCCATAGCATGAGTTGGAGTATCAGAGCGATTCTCTGAAATAGTTCATTCTAAATGGGAAGTAAAAGTGAGAACATTTCAACAAGTTGTAGACGAAAGGTTCAACCATAGTCCTGAGCTGCTACACACGAGATGATTAAACAATAAAGTGCGAAAAATACAAAGCAAGTACTGGCCAGATTTTTGGGGAAAGTCAAGAATTCACAGATACATAATATAAGAAACAGGTAAAATGGAGTATGTGATAAAAAGGAATATGTGTTGCAAACAGGGGCGTAGCTAGAGGGGGCAAGGGGGCACCTGTCCCCGGGCGCAGAATCCAAGGTGCGCCAAACTAATGTTACGACACTTTAGAATTAAATGTTTTCCATCCTTGGCAAGCAGTAGGGGTAGAAATCTTCAGTTGTCCCTGGGCGCTGAAAACCCTAGCTACGACTCTGGGTGCAAAATAATATATCAAATAGGAGAAATTAGACATGAAACGGTAAAATATACGATATTTTGTCGGAGACGTAAGATCTTAGTTTTTCTGCACAATGTTATTAATTTCTTCAAATATCTATTAGAAAATGTTTATCTTCTGACCAAATCATTTCCACAGTTTCTCATGTCTGGGACTTTATTCCTAAATATTTTAGGTGATTTTGTTTAGGTTAATGCAAAACAATTTTTGAAATTCAGTCATTATTTTCACAAGTTCAAATAGATCCCTGATTCCGCTCATTTTAAAATTATTCGTAG